AAATCTCATGGTTTTGGAGGGATTTTTAGGCTTATGGTTATTAAGTGGTTACAATCAGCAATATTACATGAACAGTAAAATCCTGTGGTTCTTATTTGAGCAAAATCCCTGTTGTATTTAATAGGAATCTTGGTTGGTTGAAAAGACTACAGAATTTTGCCCCATGCCTCTCCGCCACTGCAACTTGCCCTGGGAAGAAAATAGTTCATTTCAAAGCATAAAATACTTGTTGTTAAAAATGTTTAATTGATGTAGTTGAGAACATGCAGTACATTAACTAATCTCATCTGTAGTTGTAGAAAGAGCAAGAAAATACCACACAAAGAAAGGTGGCATAGATCAAATTGACTTATCAGAAGAGGAAAAAATTAAACTAATATTCCTGTTTCTCTATTTACTTGCAGATCATGCTTTCAATTAAGCTTGAACAAAATGATTTCAAAATGCTGAAGTCCTCATCTGGTAGCTTTTTACACCCTCCTTAGAATAGTATGAATGGTGCCCCAAAATTCCTCTGGTGTAGGAATTCCTTGCCATATCACTACTGCCAGCAAGGTGCTCTTAGATTCAGCACTGCTTATCCTTGCAAAACAATGTATTTCTTGCATAGTTTATTTTTAAAAAAACAGATAGTAGCAGAGCATAATTTGGCCACTATACGGCTGCATCTACAGCAAGGCCTTTGTAGGCACTGCTGTTGCAGATGACACCACAGATCAGCATAGCCATGCTTGCAGAAGTTGGTAAAGTACACCTGCCCTTTCAGCCTTTTTTTGGTTCCTTTAAGTCAATACCATGTTCACCACTTAATTCAGTGGCAGCAAGATCTGGTTTATTTTAGATGCATACATGTGCAGCCCTCTTATCTGTTTGTTATTCCCTTTATACCTTGTGGGAGTTAAGTTATTATTTTTAATTGCTCTACAATCCTGTGTGAATGGAGCTAACTGGATTATTTTAGGACTGAACAGTCATAGGATGCATTTCCTTCCCCCAGCTAATCTTGCTGTTTAAAGCAGCATTTCTCAACCTGTGGTCACAACCCAAAAGTGGGTCGCAAGAATATCTGAAAGGGTCATGGACAAATCACAAAAAACCGTGGGAAAGCACAGGTCTCCCTTTGCAGGCTGGCAGCATTCCAGCCTGCAAGGGGCTGCTTGGGGCAATCAGCGCCGGAGGAACATGGCAAGACAGAGGGGTAGCAGGAAGGTGCCTGCCCTTTCCAGGTGGGGGAGAGTGCTGCATGGGCGGGCTGGCAGAAGCAGGGCCGGTGCCCGTACTTGTGGGGCAGGGCAGCTGGCTGACACTACTTGGGGGCCATGACCAAGCTGCCTGGTACAGCGCAGAAGCCCCCCTCCTCCTTCCTCCAGCCCATGCTGGGCCAACAGAAAAAATTTTTTTTCCAGAAAATAATGGGCACTGTTTTTAATTACAAAAATGTGGAATTAAAATCTTGTCAGATGATGTCCCTGTGTTTCACAGTTAACTGACTTAGGGCTCTTCTCCAAACTGAACATAACTGTTGTACTGTGTCTGCTTACATAATCTAGAACCAAAAGGAGGAGGGGATGTGATGAGTCATTTTCTGCATGGGAGATACAAAATAAGTATGGCATCTGGTGTGGGAAGACTTGCTTTTTCTAAATCAGTTAAATTAATGTGACCTTATATATTATCCTTGAGGTGTCTCAAAGATAATTTAAGAGACACCCCAAGTCACTGGAGAAGTACCGTCAATGCTACCTGTGGAAAATTCTTCAAATCCAGTGGAAAGACAGACACACCAACATTAGTGTCCTCTCGCAAGCAAACACCATGAGCACTGAGGCAATGATTGCCTGACATCAACTTCACTGGGCCAGCCACATCATCTGGATGTCCAACTGCACATTTCCAATGCAAGTTTTATTTTTCTAGCTTAGTCAAGGCATACGCTCAAAATAAAGGCAGAGGAAGCACTTCAAGGACATCCTCAAGGCCAGCTTGAAAAAATGCAATATCAACTCATGGGAGACTATTGTCCAGGACCGCCCCAAATGGAGAAAGTGTCTGCTGTGAGGATCTAAGTACTTTGAAACCTTAAGACAATAACAGGAAGTGGAAAAGCAGGGAAGGCAAAAACAGTGTGTTGCAGATCAGAGCCACCAGCCTCACAGGAAAACACATGCCTGAGTTGCAACAGAGTCCGTTAATTCTGGATTGGCCTTGTCAGCCATCTTCAGACCCTCAGATAAGGCAGTCATGGAAAACAATCATCCTCAACTGCAAGGGATTGCCAATGATGATGATATGTTATCCAGCTGAGTGTCTTAGATTCAAAGCCTAAGCAACTATTTTCATACTAACTGGCACCACAAACTACCTTTTTTTTTTTTATTCATTTGCCGAAATTAAAACCAACTGAGGCTTAAAGCTGAGGGCCCATTTAAAAGATAACCATGTCTATGAATATATGACTAAAAGTGAATTGATGCTGCTGACATGCTGTACCTTCACTGAGAAGCTATTCACCATGAAAAATGTCAAGGTGTTGCAATCATTTTAAGGCATGTCTCTGGTATAGAAGAAATTTGGCGTACTCTCTATACTCTAACAGGGCTTGTCAGGGACCACATTAACTTCTGTACAAACAGTGAGATGCTCTTGTAGTATGGTAATCTTTCAGCAGCCTGTGAGCTGCTATATTTATAGTTTCATAGTTTCATAGATTTAGGGTCGGAAGGGACCTAGTAGATCTTCTAGCCTGACCCCCCACCAGGGCGGGAGAACAACAAAACCCCAAAACAAAAACGGGACTCAAATGAGTCCAGCCAGGTAGGCATCCAGCCTCTTCTTAAAGACCCCCAGGGTAGGGGCCAGCACCACTTCCCTTGGAAGTTGGTTCCAGCTCCTAGCCGCCCTAACTGTGAAGTAGTT